CACCGTTGACTCAGATGACTAGAATTCTGATGTTATGAGATTCAATAATGTGATTATGGAAAAACATGAGACGATATTGTCATGTTAGAGCAATACGCAAAGCTCAAGCAGTGGTGTTAGCCAAACATAGTGATGTCGTAGTTCTGGAAAACCATTATGCTGAATAGCACATTCAAATAACTACATTTGACTTTAAGATTTCTTGGATAACTTTAAATATCGTGTACATTAAAAGAGATATTTCCATGCTAGTCGAATCATAATGATTGACAAAAAAAAAAAAGAAACATGTGCTAATAAAATCCGATTTTTTTTTTTACTCTATGGAAGCATAAATGTGTCTAGTTTAATGATTGTACATAAATCCTCAAAAGGAAGCCTTTAGTCTCTTCTTTTATATCTTGAGTAATAGAATCAAAGTTTTGGAACTATTCAAAATTTATCCAGAGCTTTTATTTCCGACTTCTAGATGAAGTAAAGCATTAAAATTCTCACTTGTTTTCTAATGTCGATTCTTACAAACTTCCCTTCTCTACATATATATTAATTATAACATACACCAAGAAAAATAATTATAGCAGAAACTTCTAAGCACTTGAAACAGGACTGAATTAAAACCAACCGAGTGAGTAAATATGAACGGATTTATTTTAACTACTTAGGTTTAGTCACAGCTCAGTTTCGCCATTTGGGAACGATATTATGTTATGAGTGATGGAGCAAAGAAATAGATCACAAAGCCAAGGGAATTTATTTTGTCCATGAGTTTCAGTTGTTTTTAAGAGTTCTGATTTGGCCCTATCCGTATCTACGAGATTCCAAATGTTCATTGTATGTTATTGAGAACATTTTACTTTAGTTAATGGCACGTCATGCATTTAATATTAGCTACATTAAGTATGGCTGAAGAAACAAATCATTGTACAAGTTCCCGCCTACTAGCGTGTACATAAATTCACAGTTTGAAAACACTCAAGCATTTTGAATGTGTCTCAAATAAAGAAAGATTCTCCATAAAAGGGTTAAACCTTGCGAAACGTGAGTAAATGTGTGAAATCAGCATCGGAGGGTATACTCATAGGAGAAGTCAGACAACCTTCACCTATTGTATGAAATTAATTTACAGAAGGGTTGAACCATTATGGAAAAGATAAGAAGATGAACGTGATAATTTATTTGTTAAGGGTAAATTAAACCTTAATCAACAAACTATTTTAGCTATTTAATTTTACGCTCATAAACTCCAGCTTGATTTTATGTAAATTAATTAATTGACTCATCATATTTTTAGTTGATGTTTTATTATCGTGAAAGGTGGTGGAAGAATTTGGTAGAATAAACAATTTTTATCGTTCCTGTTATAACATCCCTTACATTCAACTTTATGGATGACGCTAAGAACATGAGTGTTCTTTAAGAAACACACATATATAAACCAGGAATTAACTAAACCTTAAATCTTTATCAAAACTGGGAAATTTCAAGTACTTGTTCTAAGGTGTTTTTTTTATCTACAGTGATATAGGGTAGAAAATGATTAATAAAGAGATAAAAGATATTTTGTATTTCATTGAAACATTGTTTAATTATAGTTTTGTTTATATGTTTCAAATAGTGAATAACCTTTCTGCTCCTACCGCACGTGTAGTTATTAAAGTAAACTCACATGCCAGTTGATGAAAGGTCGTGATCACGTGGCCACTTATGATCATCACATGTTTTTAGACGAGTAAAGTGGACGTTATGTTACATAGTGTATACAAGGTTATCGAGGCCGTAAATTTATATTTAACGTGTCATTCATTCCAAATAATATAAGAATAGCAGTTAAATATTCAAAAGCTGGTAAAAATGACGTCATAATGTTCGCTGTAAAAAAACTGGAATTTTATTATATTCTGCATTAGCAGATATATTCATACCTCTGAGTGATGTGACTGCATTTTTTGGTATATGATTGTATAATAATAAAATGGTGTGTCTATGGGTCTCTGTGTGTGTGCCCGCTATAGCTCCAAGTGAAAAGAACCTAGAAACCTGAAATTTTGCACACATACTAAGTGGACCCTGAGGGTGTGCATCTAGGTATTATTACTTATCCACTTGCGTGCACATCTTTTTTGTGAGGCAAGCTAGCGAAAACTACATAGAAAAGAACTGCGGCCAATATATCTTCAAGAAGAAAGAATTTAGAAACCTAAAATTTTGCACCCATACTAAGTGGACCCTGAAGGTATGCATCTAGGTATTAATTATCTTTTTAATGAGGCAAACTAGCGAAAAACCATATAGAAAATAAGTGGTTCCTTATATAATAACTTCTAATATATAGAAAATTCAGTGTGTTTTGGTAGCAATGCGTTCCAAGAATGGCTTTTATGTCACGTTGCTTAACAATATAAATATAGAGCTTATAATTTTATGCTAAAATGGGTTCAAAATACATACGCTATCAACCTAATAACTCAAACGAAGCAAGGTACTTTGGCTGGTATTTTATATTTTCGTTAAAAATAATCTAAAATGGAAACTTTCGCTACATCAAATCGCTAAGCCTAAAGCTTTGCTAGCTTTTTGGCAATCAATAAAATGTTTCATTATAACTTCAGTAATGTAATGTTCATCTAAGACAATTATAACTAGTAATGGATTATGTCTGAACACAAGAAAACTTAACAAATATAAGTAAAATACGCTCAACTATAGGCTTACTGCTGATAGAAAATAACTAAATATAAGAACTTAAATCTGTATTTATTACTGCACCAAAGTGCTACATAGTTAGATAAGAATTAAAAGATATAAAGCAACTGTTTTAGACTGATCACGGGATGTACTTCAGTCATCTCAATCAAAACACTATTACACATCACCAGCTTAGCAGAACACCAACAACACTTACAACCAAAATTCTTGAATAGAGCCTTGCAGTACAAAGAACAGACATTCCAGTACTGAACTACTGATCATTTTCAATTGGGACATTCTAGCTTTACAACAATCCCGCAGGCATTAGGTAAGCAAGGGATTGCCTAAAAGACACCCTAGGAGACAATCATAAATAGACAGGTGCTATACAGCCACTACTGAAATAATTCGTTACCACAAGATCTCAGATTTCTTCATATGAAATATGCATTTGGTACCACTAAGATTTGTCTAGACATAAAATGTAGACTAGGTAGAAGGTAAAGAATAAAAATCATGTCAGAATCTATTTAAAGACAAGAGTACACAGTCACGTGTCACCTGTCTTCTGATTGGACACTTATCGTCATGTGGAGAAAAAAAATTTGCATAAAGCTGGTGAAGTTTCTCCCAATTAGCACAAGGATGGCGCTGGAACCATAAAGCAAGATCTTCTCTGGATTGATGAAAACAGCGATCCAAAAATAGACATTTCCACCAAGATAATATTTGCGACTGCCTCACAGATAATAAAATTAAGAATAGTTGGCTCCCTTATGGATAACAGAAAGTAAATTAACTGCATGGTAAGGTAAACCTATCATCCATATGTACGTAGCAGGCCATGCAGGGTTAAAATTGAATGAGAAAGCCCCTTTATCAAAGGCAGCACAACTCTAATGGCAGGTATTGAGTTCTTGTGCTCTAATAATGTAGAACTGGCAACCATGGAAGGTCTCTATCGACATTCAGAAGGAATGAGACTGTTGGAAACAAAGTGCCATATGGTGTAAATAGAAAAAGCAAAGGACAGGGAATCAATAAGACAATACACAGCCAGCAGGCCACTAGTAACATAAGCAAGGGAGCTCTCTTTTACCTCCTGCGAGACAGCCGTTCCCCACATGAGGGGTCAGCACCTGACAGCATAACACCTGGGATTGTCAGATAGTTTTCAGCTCAAACCTAAACCTTCCATAGGTTTGAAGTTATACTCTTCGGTATAAATTAGAGGATGTGACAGTTATTAATTCGATCTTAACGTTAGAATCATTACTAGTTTTTAAACCAAAATTAGTTTAATATTTTGTTTCCTTTCCAATAAAAAGGGATTCGCATAACATTTTGACATTAAAACATAGACGAGTTAGCAAAGGTATACATTAAAGGTTGTGATACAATGTGAACGTAAATCATTGTTGATCGCGATTCAGCTGTACTTATCCTAATGTAAACGTAAATAGGTACAGTTGAAGTAAATAATAAATTTACGTTCACAGAAGTTCAGATATGTGTAAGTTAATTTACTTCGTTATTACTCAAGATAGCAGCTATAAATTACATTAAAGAGGAAAGGTTCAAGCATGGTAAGTTAGTATTACGTTAAAAATGTATTTAACATTACTAGGATCAAACTCTTCAACCAGGATCTCACTATGTAAGGAGCTCAGCCTTACGATGATAATGCTGTTTAAGCAGCTCAGCCTTAAGAAGATCATAATACTTAGACAAATCAACATTACCGGGATCATACTATCTATTCATTTCAGCCTTACTAGGATAACACTATTTTAGTAGCTTCAGCCTTATCAGTATCACACTAAGCAGCTCAGCCTTACAAGGATCATACTATTATTTAACCTGCTTAGACTTCTTTTATATTGTTACGATATTTGTAACTTACTATAATTTTTTAGTATTCTATTTTCTGGCTATAGATTGCATTGAAGTAAAGAAGACTCTGGTTTAAGAAATGTATTTAGCATTACTAGGATCGTATTTTAAGTAGCTCAACCACATTTTATCTATCAGTACACCTCAACGTGATGTACTTATAAATCATTTTTTCATTTCAATGTGCATCAGATTTGAAAAATGCATTAAGTTATGTTCAGAATTATTTTCACTTGATATATCAGATTACTTATGAAAATCTAAAATTTTCCCAGCAGTCTTATTCATCTTTAAATATAGCCTTCCAGTCCTATTTAATAAAGCACCACGCTATGATACAAGTAATGAACAGAGTAAAAGATTAATTAAAATCACAGAATTTCAGTCGTCAGAAAAAGTAGGCTACATGAAGATAAAGACACGCATATTCAGGTAATTTCAGACAGTTTATTAATGATCGTTTGTTCCAGTTACGTAGTCGGGACAAGGAGTTTTCCTGCAAGACACGCGATTCCAAATTGTTCCAGTGGGAAACGTCAGAGACGAACAAGGAAGATATATAGATTGTTATCAAATGGGAAGGTAAGTCTTGAAACTTGTCACACGGAGAAACCCCAACCATTTTCTTCTTTTCGATAAGTGGCTCAAGTTTTTTCTTTAAGAAAGGTTGATGTATCGACCTTCCTTTTAAAAAATGTCAATAAGAAAAATATATTCAGTAAGAGCTTTTCTTTCAACTAAAAATAACAATTTAATATTGGTTTATCAAATCTGGACAACTCATGTCATTTATAGTACATATTTGTGATATTTCAGTAGTACCTAATATAAGACTTTGTTTGTTTGTTGTTAAGCGCAAGCTTATGCAATGAGCTAATTGTGCTGTACTGTATCAACCAAGAGTATCGAAACCCAGTTTTTAGCGTTATAAGCTTTCAGACTTGCAGCTGAGCCACTGGGCCTTGGGGGGGGGGGGTTAATATAAAGCGACTGCACTTGTATTGCGATGTTAACAAAAGATCAAAGATATCGCATGCCACCTGTTATGTAAAACATCGAATATATATGAAAATCTTCATGTGTAATTGCCTCTTAAGAACAATCCTCATAAACTCAGCTGTTTCATATAAAACTTTTGATATGCAGATTAGTTTGAAAAAAGTTGTCATTATAGTTCAGTTCAATGTGTGACTCTTATTAAGTTTGAATAAAGACATTTGTAAATCTTTATTTTTAGCCGCGGCATAGTGGCTCGTAAAATGGCTCTGAGTTTTTGTTGTGTTTTTCAAGTACAAACTCGTTGAATATACAAGACTGTTTAGAGTGAAAGTTATTGATTAATTGATTTAATATTTAATGATTATTTTCATAACAAGAGTGTTAAAAGTTAATTATTTTAAAGGCAATAGTTATGACAAATTTCGTTATATAACTCGGTAAGAGTCGTACGTTGTGTATGTAGTTCAATTGTCGTAGTATTGTTGACATCACCTTTCTCGCTATATGAGTATTGTTACATCATAGCGTCTCCTAATTTGTAGAAAGTTCTAGACCTCAGTTGGAAAATGTATCAATATAGGCCACCAAGTGAGCGCAAGTCAAGTAAAGTTCAGTAAAGTGAAGTTCAGACAGACAAAAGTTAGAAAACGTGAAGTTAGCTGGCGTGTGAGTGATTAACCTTAACGGATGATTTATACAGTGTCGTGATGAATTCAAATTCGATGACGAGGAACCCACTTTGAGACTAATAATGGCTGGAGACGGCTTAAATGGGTAATGAAGAAAAACTTTAATATAA